CGAATGAACGACTTCATTAGCAACCTACAACCAAACATAAGGGCATGGAAGAAAAATCTGTTCCTTTCCATGTACTGAAATGACCAAACAAATTTTTTCAAGCATATATTATTCCCTTTAGATGACCAGACATTTGTTTGGGCCTGCTAAAATTAACTACCCCCTTCTAGTCAACTGAAAAAGGCTTATTCCTATTTTGTTACATGGTTGAAGGTTTCCAAGATTCTAATGCATCATCAAGATATCCATTGAATAGCATTCCAGTGTAAGCCTCATAACCTATTTCTCTTACTCCACTCTTCTGGGGTGTGACCATCGCTGCAATGAAATCACTTTGAATGGGGCCTAGTTGTAAAAACATTTAAAAGAATTTAGTAAAAAAAGTGCAAAAATCAATTAGGATGCATGGCAAACTAAATTTGGTTTAATTAAAGCAAACATTTGCCCCCTTTCACTAAAAATCACATCTGCATGCTTATATAAAAATCATCCTACATTCATTAAACATTTTTATTTTACTTACAATATCTTTTTTTCTACTTCCTTGTCCACTTTGGCACAAATGATGAAATCGTGCCATAGCGTTACATCAGCAGAGCATTGCAGGGAAATCTCATAAGATCTCAGGGAAAGGCATTTTCCTCCCCGAGATGATGTGCATGGTCACATGTCCTAGTCACATGTGCCAGAGTTCCAGGAAGTAAAGGGAGATATAGTAATCTGCCCTTTGTGAAAATGGCCACTATGAGAAGACTGGGAGAGAAAAGAAAAATAAGGTATTCGAAGAATAAAAAGCCGGCAATTATCTACAAGTATCAGTTCGTAGATTGTCATTACTAAACATTTCTAAAAGGTGCCTTTGCTGTTATTTTGAAGATATGAGTAAAGTTTCTCTTTCAAGCAGAGATTTAGAAAAGAACGATTGAAAATTCTGCTCATTCCTTCTTGCAATTCACTCTCCACCACACAGCATACCTAGATTCCTAAACTCTCTCTTCTAGACTGATGTTAAAGCCATGCTGCTTACGGTAGCTATAAACATGACTCAGCATGTGAATAGCTATATTCTGATGAGATTATCTCGGGGCTCTCGCCTCCGATCAGCAAGCTCTTTGTGTTCGACTGACAACACTGTGCAATGCAGTAAAACATGATTGGATTTAATTGATACCCCTTCTTGTCCCAGTCTGTACTGACAAACAAGGGGATTATAGGAGGACAATATACAGACAGACCAAATTGCTATTTAAAAAGGGAAAGTATAGTGTTTCTTCATTTATTTAATGCAGCATTTGCCTTAAAGAAAATGTTCTTATTTTTGTATTACACAAAAATATCTGTAGATTAGCCACTAGAGGGGACTTTGAGTGGCTTCATGACATTTGAATGGTCGCATATGACATTGCAGGGGTAAGGTCTGACATTGTAGAGTCTTTAAAGACAGGACCTGGAAATAGGAGGTAAGTGGAGGAAGTGCAACACTTCAGATTCCTAATATAAACACAGGGATACATGAGGATTGCTTGCAGTATAGACATTCTTATGAATCAGATGCAATCCTGCGAGGGACATTTTTAAATGGAAAGCATAAATCAGAACGACTACAGCCAAGGCTCATATTGCCAATAGATTGTAATGATGAAATCGTGTTCAGTTTGGAAAATTGAATTGTAATATTGCTCTGGTAGATGTAGACATGAATTGATCAAATGCCTGAGATTTCATCTGGGAAGAGAAACCATTTATTTATAGTTTATCCACTTCAATTTCCAATAATATGAACAGTGTCTAGACTCCAATTTTCCTGATCTTCACACAGACGCAGTTGTGTTCCACATGATAAAAGGACATGGTTCAATCCACTATGTATATTTAGTGACATGGATTTGCATGTTTTTGGCTCCGTTCATTCTATTTTTATCAAGCAATTTTTTACAGATACAGAAAATGATCCCAGAATGTTTTATTACTAAACATGGAAGGTGATTAGCACTGATCCTGGCTGCATAAAAAACACAGGCAGCTAGAGGAAATGCAACCAAAACAGGATTTTCTTCTACAATTGAATGGACTTAAGTCAATTTAGATATTTTGTGAAACAATTCTACAATCTACATCTAGCAAATGTATGGATTCATAGTTGGTATACTCTTAATTCTCTAATGATTCTCCAGGCAAATCCATACATTACGGAATTTTAAGTTTCAAGTATTCCTGTCATGTGCGCACACAAATAAAAATATGTCCACCAACACATAGTAGGCACCCTAGGGCCATGTCTTAACTACAAGGTTTTAGTTTGCCTCACCAAGTAGGCAAGCTCCCAGGGATCCCATCCAAATACCAACTTTCCCTAAGCTTCTGTTTACACTGGGGCTTATCAACATGAGTCAAACATGCATGATTCGACGCATGTTCACGATATCTGCACAAATGTGGAACGCACTTCCACATGGGGACATGAGCCAAAAGCGGGGCCTAAAGTTAGAATTTACATAAAGATAGGCAAGTCCTCAACTCTCCACCTGAAAGTGCCTAGCCTGTCAGAGGGCAATACAAGCACTGAATGGTGGGACGTGGGAGGGAACACACACACACACACGTCTTATTTTTTTTCATAGCTAGTTAGAGGCAGATCAGAATATGAGCAAGTCCCCTTTAGGTTAGATTTGGTATTGGAGGGTACCTGTCAGATAGATGGAGTGCATGACAGATGTGACTCCAGATTAAAATTATGGCTTATGGCATTTTATTTAATCCCCAGAGGAAAGTTAGTGTTATATCATCTGGTGTTTCCCTTCATCTAAGGCCCCTTCACATGGTCTGGAGGGGATCTGTGCATGTGACATTCATATCCGTCCAGGTTTTCCTCCAAGCTGAAAAGACCAGAACCCACGCCAGTCTATGGAGAAAACGGATATCAATGGACATGTGTCCGTTTATATAAGATTACCTCCAATCTGGCCCCATCAGGTTCGGCAGAACACTGTTCCATTCTGGGGCAACCAGATGTAAGTGGACACTCATCCATTTAGATCCGGCAGTCCATAAACTTACATTAGGCAACCGATTGAGTCCGCCTGAAAAACTGTTAGGCACACCCGTTCGGACAGCCTGTCTGAAAGTGATCTAAGGGTCTGTATTGATGGGCTTTTGTTCACTTCAAAATTGCTTTTCTCCATATACAAGTCTATGGAAATTAAAAAGCAGCTAAAGCACGTCAAACACATCTGCAATCAATTCTGAACGATCTCAGAAGCATCTCAAACTGATGTAAAAAAATGCTACATTTTTCCATTAAAGCCCATCACTCCCTAAACGTATGGCAGGCCACATGAGCTGTTCAGTATATCAGCAACGTTTTACAAATAATGGGCCATGTAAAAGGGAAGGGAGTTTAAAAATGAGTATTCCTTTAAAAAACCTATGACTATTAACTCAGTCTTCCTATGACATAGTGCACCCCCTTAACAAATTCATCATAAATAGGGTAACATGAATTACAATTAACATAAGCAACAAAGAAAGGAAAAAGACAATGATCATTCCATACATATCTTCAGAAGTACGTCCGAGAAGGTGCTTCTGTGTGCAAAGACTTCCCCAAGGAGACTGCAAACTGCTGCAATATATGGTAAACAGTAGCAGTCTCTTCCTTTATGCAACATGAATCAGGCCTTGTTCACACCAAATGCAGACCAGATCCGGTCAGGTTTCTGCACACGCAGTGTAGTGGGTTGTGCCGCGTTTTAGACGCGTTTTGAATGCGTTTAGGGCCGGTTTTGGTTAAAAAAAAACATTTTTTTAAAGTTTAACATGGACTTTCAGGCACTTGCATGCGTTTTTGATGCGTTTTTGACCAGACCAGATCCAGAGCAGGTAAAATAGGGCTTGCCGCATTTTTTTCATCCGGTCTGGATCCGAACGCTGCCATGTGAACTGGAGGTCAAAATACCATAGGAATACATTGGACGCAGTTTTGATCCGATCTGCACCTGCTCTGGTCCGGATCTGCTCCGCGCTTGGTGTGAGCAAGCCCTAAGTCAGCCAGTCAAACAACGAAATTCAGTATGGGGCCACTGAACAAAAATCTGTACTAAACTTCTGCATGCCAGTATAGTAGGGATTTTGCACAAGACAAGGTCAGTTGCAACCATGAGCTAGATTGTGACTGAGCCTCTGGCCTGTAATGCATACTGTGAGGGATTTTAGTGGTCACAAAACCCCAAAACAAAATATATCTTTAAAAAATTACACGGTAGGATTACTTGTGGAAACGAATGAAATATGAGCTTGATGCAAACTGATATAGGGAGATTTATGAAGAGCGCGAACCACGACCTGACAAAATATTGCATCTGTGCTTTTCAGCATCCCATCATAAAAATGTAGCAGGATATTACACAGAATAAAAAAAAGGAATCTGTCAATTTATTGATGAATGAATGAATGTATGTATCAGTGTGCAAAAAAACTGCATACATATATAAACTCATGTACACACATATGTGCAAGCATCAAAAGACAAAAAAAAAAAAAAAAGCGAAATATTTTACCTCAGGTAATATAAAAATAAATCATGCAGACACTATAAAGTGAATGCAGATTACACTTAAGATAATATCTTTAACAGAAATTAAAATAGGGGTTAGATGCCAGGTACATTTTGTAACATAAAACAAAATTCCTTACCATAGCCTAGGAAGACTATAAAAATAAGAGATACTTTCAATATGAGCAACATTCTTCAGTGCAATAAGCGTTTAACTTAAAACAATCCTAGTCCCATCTGGTCTCTTATATTGTAGTAGTAGTAGAGGGGGAAAAAAAAAAGAAGTACAAATGCATAATGACAAAGTGAAGTAATAATGAGTGTTAGGGCCAATGCGAACATTCCCAACACACACTTACTGACTTCTTTTAAACTTTGGAAAAGTTTGAAATGATGTTCTTACCAACGGTGCAACTTCTGCAAACTATGAACAAAGATATACATGTAAAAAAAGAAAGTCATAATGCTAGAGAAAGACAGTGATGGAACCCTCCTTCTCACAAGACAAATGGTATCACATTAAGGAAAAATAAAAATGGACACCTGTTAAGCGCATCTATAGTTGCATTGCAATTGAACAATACTGTGAGGCATTTAGGAAGGAAGGTCCTTTCTGTCTGGTTTCTAGTGTATTACTGCACCAAGATTCAAAAGTCAGCAATCCAAAACACACATGGGAATCACAAAAATATTTCTCTATGCCAAACTTCTATTTGTATCAAATAGACCATGACCATATACATTGGGTACTAAAATTCAAGGTAAGAGGATAGCCTCCTGTTTGACCTTAAGGCAAAACATCTGAAATCCAGACTGTAGCTTTTGAAATGCTTTCCTTTAGTGTTGTTGTAGACCCTGTTAGTGTTAATGGTTCTGGGGCAATCATGTAGCTGCTGTTGTAATCGAAACGCTCTCGGTGGCTTGTGCAATTCCCATGCAGCCGGTCTTTGCTGCCCGCCTGTAATAACAGTGCAGTGAGGAACCCACAATGTGGGTGGCAAGTTACAGCCTGCTTCAGGCTTGCTGCTCAGTTCAAAGCACGTTGCTTTATTGTGTGGAAGATCCAGTCTACTTTTGTTGTCCATCCGCCATGATGGGCGTCATTCATCTGTTTCATGAAATATTCCAGCGCTTCCTGTTCGGATTTTTCCAAGGCTAGTGTCTTTCTGATGTAGGCTATGTCGTCAAAAGACTGCAGTTCAGGCATTCCAGAGCCAAGCATCATGGAAAAGAGGTTGATAAAAAGATTGGCATGCTGACGTATTGCCAAATAGGCTTTGTAACACATTTCTTGAAACCTAGGAGAAAAGTTACAGAAAAAGAAGGAAAAACCAAACAATCAACATATTGATATGATAATATGCGTGATATGTTTATACCGCCCAGAGTTTATATAGCTGGGTTTTTAAAGTGACACTAAACTCAGTAGGGAAATCTTAAAAATGCATTCAAGTACCTGAACTATTGAATGTAATGTATATACTGTACACATTATCTGTGTATCACTGTAGATCCTCAAATCATCTCTGAATTCATGGTGACACTGTCCTTCCTTCTGGAGGGTGGCTACTTTTGTTCCCCATGGTCCCTGTGTGTGTTGTAAAGTAGCCACCACTCCAAGCTCGCTCCTGTGATGGACTACAATCTCATGTTTAGTTTATTAATTTGTATAGAGATTGTAGTCTATCACAAGAGCAAACTTGGAGTGGTGACTACTTTACAACACACACAGGGACCATGGGGAACAAAAAGTAGCCACCCTTCAGAAGAAAGGACAGTGTCAGCACCAATTCAGAGATGATTTGGGGATCTACAGCTCAGTGATAGATAAAATACATTTTTGTTAATAGTTAGGGTACTAGAATGAATTTTTACGATTTAACTCCTCAGTTAAGCGTCACTTTAAAACAAATATTTGCTAGTATCACAAAATATTAAAATAAAATGTATATTTTTATAATGCATCCTCTGAAGTAATAGAGAACAAAAGAGTAAGCAGAGTGGGTGCATGTAAACTCATGACAGGCCTGCAGTTTTATCTCTTAAAGAGCATCAGTGATCATCCCTTAACAGCACACAGCACCAAGTGCATTTGGCTCCATAAGCCTTAAATCAGTACTGCGTTATTTGCGTACATGCAAGCAAAGAACTTACAGCCCCTCCCCCAAGTAAATGACGACATACAGCGGGATGGAGCTACATTAGGCTTCGGACATACAGGAGTGGTTTAGCAGCTGATACATTCTAGCCAAAAGAGCATCACATCTAGGACACATTGAGAAAGCTTACAGCAGTTTTCTTGAAACCCCTAATGCACCCTTTAGCTTAAACTTTGGAGTGTTAAATACTAATCATAGTCAAACATGTAAACTTTAAAATAATCTTGCTTGCTACATTCTATTAAAACTTTCTAAAAGCTTCTTTAAGTTTACATCCGGCACTTAGTCTGTATTCAATACTCAAAGATTGTTTTGGTATTGTTTGATGAATCTGAAGTATTATGCTATAGAGCAGGGTTGGACACATTATTATGGAATTCAGGAGCCAGCCCCATTGACAACAGAAAACCATAAAGGTTGGACGCCAACTGTAATTAAGGAGCATGGTCTACCAGGTTCCCGGGATTTGTCCAGCCCTGCCACAGAATATGCAGTGCACTTGGCATTGTGCACTCTTCCGGTATGTGCTTTTAAGGGAGGTTGGGCTTCCTCCTGACAAACCTGCACCCAATTTAATCTTTGGCCCCATGTGCTCCAAGATGGAGACTCTCATAGTTTAGAGTTAGGACCGCACTATATGGAGGAGCCTTGACGTGGCTGTGCGGCTTTCACATTTTCTGCAGAAGACGTGTATCTAAACCACTGCTTTTAACCTTAGTGGTTAGACAGGTTTTTTTGCATGCTGGCTGGCGAGCCAAGGCAATGGGAGGAATTTATCAAAACTGGAGCAGACAAAATCTGGAGCAGATTTGCACCGCAACCAATCAGCCTCTCGAGCAAACTGAAGAGAGATGTTGATTGGTTGCTATGTGCAACTGCTCCAGATTTTGCTAAATTCCTCTCATTGTTATTTAGATTTTCTTACATACATATATACTATTCAAATTTAAAAAAAAGGTTCTCAAACTGGAATCCTAAAAAGGAATCAATTAACACAATAGGTTTGCTAGAAAAACAAGCTTTCAGGTCCAAGCCATCATTCTTTGAGAATCACAAACAAATCCATATAAATAAAATTGTTCCCATAGAGAAACTAGTGCTCTTTAAAGAAATTGTTTAATGGCTTACCTTTCAAAGTCCCTGGTTTTTGTGCATTCTTGAATCCCCTTGCTGATGACTATTAGAAAGTCCTGCGTTAACACAAATGGAACCCGCTCTCGCTTGTACCCAAACTTTTTCTTTTTGTGATCCAGAAAGTGCCCAAAATCTATGTGAAACAACTGACAGGGAAACCTGTGTTAACAACTGAAAAAAATGACCTAGAACATTGGAAATCAATCACAGAAATCAAACTTACTTGCCCGTTGTCCTTCACCATTATGTTACTATTGTGCCGATCACCAATTCCAAGAATAAAAGTGGCAACGCAATAACCAGCACACGATCGTGTGAACAAGTCGATAGCGGCATCATACCTGTAGAATACAATGAACAATGATTCACGCCAGACTTCTTCTGTATTAACTATCTTTATAAACCAAGAAACAATACGCATTTGCTTTTTATTAAAGACTTTCAACCAAAATAATTAAGTGAATATGTCAGGTAAATCAGTTACTTGCTCTGAGATTGGTGTTAGAGGACTCTGAGGTGCCCGGAGACATGGAAATAATTCCCTGATCTAGGCGGTTTTACATCACACCTATAGGTGATGACACATAATACAATCTGAATGCACGCTCCACCAAGTTTGAATGGTATGGAAATTAAAACAATTTTCCCTCTCAAAATATAAGAAAATTATTATATACAGGATTTATATAGCACCAACAGTTTGCAAAGTGCTTACAATATGAGGACATTACAGTTACAATACAAATCAAGACAAGACAGTAAGGAAAACAACTCACAACACCCCTTGTGTCTAATGAAGACATTTTCTGCTATCTTGTCACCCCTTCATTTAATTCCATCCAAATGTTATGATTGCGCTGAGCAGGTTCAGTTACATTTAGTAGACTAAAGCTATTTACACGTGTTGCAATAGAATTGTATAGACAACCAACAAAACTGACCAAAAGGAGGCATACAAAATGTCAATTTACAGCCGATTCCTCTAAACCTGGGTCTAAGGTTAAACCCCTTTTCTTTTTTTATACTGTCTCACCAGGCAAAAAATGAAAAATCACTGTGTAGTCCAACAATAAATGATACACTTGTACTTATACACACCATGTGTATAGTATTTTGATTCTATACAGCGAGTACCTGTTCATCCAGTCATTAGTTGACCAAGTGGCTTCCAGTGTTGGGTCAACAGCTATCGGTATTAAACATTTATTTTTTAATATTAGAAATGTTATTGAGAATACAAATCTTACTACAAGAGAGACAAAAGTACAATGGGTAGTGGACACTTTCCAGAGAAATATCAAATTGCACTCAGAAAACTGTAACCAAATAAATGGGCTACAAGTGAGGGCAGGCAACAATAATATGCCAGGTGATCACTATTAGCCTTTAGAGAAAAAAATAAAAATGTTCGCTTTTAGTTTTACCCTGAGAAGTACAAAAAAAGTTGCAGAAATCCTAGGCATGCGAGGGGTTTCCAAATAAAGGACACATAAATGAACTTATTTTAATGCATTGCTTTTAACTGTGCTATTTTTCTAAAAAAATAAAAATAATCAAAAACAGAGGAAAAAAAGAGTTTGTTTTTTTTCCCCTCATTTTTTAAATATTTTAATCTTCCTAAGGCATTAGGCACACATGTGATATACATATTTAGCCGATCTGTTTTCTAAAAAAAAACAATATATAATGTGTGAGTGCAGTTAGTAAAAAAAAAATATATTACTGTGGTGGAAGGATCACACAGCAAAAATTTGCGTCAGTCATTAACGAACAGAATTTGAAAAAAAAAAAAACCTCAGTCATGAAGGGGTTAATTAGTATTTTTGGGCCGACTAGCTGGAGTTGTTTGTAAGGGAATGTTTGTATTGTTCAGTGCATTCCCCTGCCCGTGTGCACCTTTCCTGTGCTTGTAATAAATTGATCTGAACGGATGCCATTCTTTGCTTTGTATGACAACACTCACCCGGAGCTACCAGTGCTTTAGCTAGGGCTTCAGGTCAGCTCTGCACATAGCTCAGGAGGCACACAGCACAGCATTTCAGAAGATCAATTTATACAGGTATTTGGGTTTAAGAAATAAAATCACTACTCACAGTTCTCCCTTGTTTTTATCCTTGAGCCACTGGTGTAATGCATGACTGTTGAACTGCAGTGCACCTTTGAGTCCTCCTTTACATTGAATTTGCATAATAGTATGCGAGCATCTCACCACCTCAATAAGTCCCACACAGTCTCCAATAGAGAGGCAACCATATGGCAGCATCCTAGAATAGAAAGGCACATCACAAACTGCGACAATGAATTCACCATCTGTATTGTATTCAGTAGTCATCATTTTTCTCTAATCGGGTAAGGTCATTTTTCTCCAGTCTTTGCACAGTGATTTTGGAAATATGAAGTTTTCTCATACATAAAACTAAGAAAGCTGTCAGAAATGGGGGCTGCTTTAACCCTTTTGCTGCCACCGATGTAAGGCTTAAATCATGGAAGGGCTTTTAAAAACATTTTATATTTCACAAGCCAACTGTCAGCTTTCTGGCTGAAGAGATTAACTTTACAGTCACTCGATCACTTCTACATCCCCCTGGAATGTGCTACCACACTCCCCCACCTCTTCCTTTCCAGTTGACGCCTCGTCTATGTATTGCCCCTTACGCTTGCCCAGGACTGGCATCTCAGGGAGAGCAGAGCATAAATCAGGGAACATCTGATATGAATATATAATATAAAAACACCACAACAACTTTTTTTTTTTTTTTTAAGCTCTCTGCCCTCGTGTACACGCACGAATGTAAACATGTGTAGGGTGCACCTACATATGAGAACGGCGATTGTTGGGTACCTCTGTGCACGGTGGAGAGAGCAATAATTCTAAGGACGTCATTCATGGTCAACTCTAAACTGATAACTTGTATAGGCTTTTAAAGCGGTACCTATGGACAATTTTGGGTGCCAAAGTTTGTCAACATTTCACATAATTTTAAGGCTTAACGTGATTGGTCTGCATTTATTTGATGCAACCTCATATTTTACCCAATAAAATAGGTAATCTGATGTGTTTGTGTGCACTAAAAATAACTTTATTGTATTTTTTTTACTGAATTTGGGTCTGTTAATATACAGGATTTATATAGTGCCAACAGTTTGCACAGCGCTCTACAATATAAGGAAGACATTACAATTACCCGTGAGAGTTTACAATCTAAAAGACTCTTCAGATTATCATGTGTCATAAAAAAAAATTGTAACCAAACATTTTATTCTACCAGGGTTATTTCCTTTCAGAAAATACTTCTAACCTGACGGATTCTCCTTAAGTCATCTTTGAGCTCTACTCTGCAATTCTTGTAGCTGTACCCTTCAATGCATTCTATGTCCAACTGATTGACCCTCACTTTACTTTGTCAAAAGGAGACAAAATCTTCCTAGAAGTGACCTGATTGCTTCTAAGCCACCCCCACTTTATAAAATAAAAAAAAAGAAGAAGAACAAAATAGTTTGGATGGAGTTTAAAATTGACGAAAACAAGCTCACTGTGTCCCATGTCGAAGTAATAACAGACTTTTAGACAGCTGTCATTTTATGAATATCCAAGCCGTTTTCTTGGCAAGATGAACACATGGAAGCACATTACCAGGCTTTTGTTCCAAGCAGGAAACGTAAACTATGGCCAAATTAAGCAGAAGCCAATTGACCTGCAAGTGTGTTTGTGGAAGAAATCCAAAGCACCTGGGTAAACCACAGAATCATTAGGAAAGCATATACACTTCACACAAAGTTCAACTTGAACCCATGACACACAGTACTAAAATGTTACAAAATCACCATGTGCCATAAAGCTGCAGACTGGCTAAGTGCAGTAACTATACTGGTAGTCAAATGGTGAATTGAGGCCTTTTCCGCAGTACCTCAGTCTACCCCGAGCGCACTAAGGGTAGAAAATTCATGTGTTGTCTGGAAGTGGTTAATGTGCCAGGCAAGGCTCTTATGTAAAACACAAATGCCACAAAATATCTTCTTTACCGTAAATCAAGTCCTTGATTCTGCCAAATGTTTTCCATAATTCTCAAAATCTGAAGAGTCAACATATCTTGCCGCAAGTCTATAAAAAAAAAAAGAAATTTAGCAATTTTAATTTAGTAAAAAAAAAACGTAAGGATGAAATAAAACTAGAAAAATATATATAAAAAAACTTGCGTGTTCAAGGATCAAACATCTTTTAAAACTAAACTCTTGAGTTGTCCTTCATTCTTCTGACTGCTTTACAAAATCTGCCTGGCTACTGTACATCATATAATCAAACAGAAACGGCTGCTTTTCTCTTACCTGCACCTTTTTTACCTCTAACTTTTCCCCAATTTAGGAACGGAAATGATGCCCACTGTAAACAGAAAACTAGGCAAAAGTCGTCCAGTTCAGACACATGCCTCACAGAGGTGATTGCACAAGGAATACACCTTGTGAGCAATCATAGAAGGTAATATTTCCTATAGGTTCAAAAGGCGGTTTCTGAAGTGCCAAAAGAACCAAATTCAAATCCTTTGGAGTGATGGGTGAAAGTAAAAGGGAGCCACATGACAGGCACCCGGCACAAAAGTCTTCATTAAAGCATAGGAGGGTAGTGGTCTTTGGAACGCACGTGCTGAGATTTGATCCTTGATGGCAATTGGGGCCAAAGAGTATTGTCTGGGAAGAAAGCTTCTTTCTATGCACAAAGTGAAGTATGCCTTTCAATGTGCAAAGGCAGTCCCTTTGCAGTAGTAGACTTCCTAGCCTTAAGCATCTTAGGAATCACAATTCTGAAAGGCCCCTTTCATGCAACACCTCAGACTCTACAGCCATGCATTAAAAATCAGCAACTGTGAAGCAGAATAGTACACTGGTCCTTGGGATATAAGATCCTGACTATCACTATTGGGAAGAGCTCATGGTGTGTCTGCCAGGAGTTGGGTACAGTGGCAGTACCACATCCATGTGGGCCAGTCCAGTGTTCTGAATATCATGAGAAGGCTCTCCATCTCAATCCTGTGGATCAGAAGAGGAAAGAGCTTTAGAGGGAGAAAGGAGTAGATAAGGCAGATAATTGTCCACGCCTGGGATGTGAACTGCGGACAAGGCTGGAATGTGAAGTTCTGCCCAGGACAGTATGCTTTCTATCACTCTCGATGCAACAAGACTCCTGGTTTCTCCCTAATGGTTGATGTACACCACTGCTGGATTCTAATTGGATGAGCCTGCAGTCCGGATGTCCAGTATTGTAGGGCCAACAAAATAGCCCAGAGCTCCAGAATGTTGATTGGGAGACAGGATTCCTCTGGTGTCCAATTCCTCTGCATCCATAAGGTCTAGAACTCCTCCCCAGCCTGCCAGGCTGGCATCCCTTGAGAATAGATATTTTAAGACATCAGAAGGAATGATTAATCCAACTCCAGAGCTGCATTGCTAAGCCACCAGGGCATAGACAATGTGGCCTTCCTTGACAGTTTAATCAGATTGTCCAGGAAAATTTGGCCTACAATTAAAACTGCGCCGGCCTAAAGCAGAAATGGGCAAATGGAAGTGCCTCAAAAAGGAGGCTACCATCAGGCCCATGACTCATGCAGAAGCGCTGAGCTGGTCTAATCCTGGATAGAACATTTTTCCAGAGAGTCTGGAAGTGGAGAGTTTGAAGTTTATGTTGGGGAGTCTCTGAGTTATGACAGATCCCTGCGACTCCTCAGAGACATCTTCAAGCAAGTATTTTTGAGACTCTTCTGCAAATACAGCCTCTGCCAAGGCCAAAGCCAGGTTAGATAATGATTCTGCAGGGGAAGGTGCTGAGGTATGCTTATGATGTCTACAGTCAGGGTCAAAACTGCAATTTCACCCATGAAACCCTGCATAACTGTGGTGAAATTCTTAATGGGTTGAAAACAGAGGCAGGAGCTAAGGAAGACTCCCAAGGAATGTAGGGACTCAAACTGGGGATAGTGTTCAATGCAGTTTGTGTGGGCCCCATGAGAGAAAGCACTGCAGGCTGTCCTGGAACGGTTAGGGGATTGCAAGCTGTAGGGACCCGGTACAGCAGGACTGCTCCCCGTATGTTTGTGATCCAACATGTTGCAATGCAAATCGGGTACAACGTAACTCAGAAGAAAATGCAAAACCTTGGGTACAAACAAACCAGCTGCTGAAAGCAGATGTTTAAAGCGCCAGAGGTGACCAGGTCACCCAAGGCGGCAACAGAGGGCTCCTTGATGATCTATAATGGGTTTTATGGTGTTATTTTTTTCCCATATTGCTGTATTTAATAAATGATACATGTACTACACAAGCAGTGTGACGGTTTCATATCTCGTGTGTTTTTGGCCCGCAGCAAAGTGGTTCGGTTCTCATTTGGGTTAATGCTAACTAACCCTGTACACAAAGGTCTGGAAAGCACAAATGCGGAGCCCAGTGCCCGAAGGTCACATTCCAGGCAGGCTCCACAATCGTCCAGTTCAACGGGTAAGTTGTAACTATTGCTGAGATATGTTGATCCAGATACCTCCAAGAAGCGAGAAAAGGTCTTAATTGAAGAAGAAATAATCTTGAAAAAAAGTTAAGGCTAGTAAAAACAGGTAATGTTTTCAAAGTAAAGAAAAGGTGTCAATCCTCCTACAACACTAGCAAAAAAACCAGAAATGCTGGGGAGTGGGAGGGGGGTTATACCAGGTTGGTCACGGTTTTTGTTTGCCGGTGTCCTGCTGCAAATGCAAATTTTCATTCATAAACACTAAACAGTGATAGAGAAAACATATATACTACAAGTACATGATATATCAGAGAGAAAAAAGGATTGTGCAAATATTTGCATTTAGAAAAAGTAAATAATAAATACAGCCTGAACTGATTGCATCGCTTAGAAAATGAAGTACAATATGTAACAAAGAACATTACCCTCTGGAAATAGTGCATTTTTTAAACTCACCATCTCCATTCTTAAAGATGATCTCATTATTCAGGAACAGCATCTCAGACATAATATCTGGATTTTCCCAGTTAAGCCAGAGTGGCCTTTTTGCAGAAGACATTATTCTGCACTCTTCTAGCCTACAGAAGAGGAGGATGCTTCATTATAAACCTTCACTTGTACATCTGAAACGTTATGTTAAATGGCATAAATATACAGATATTTATACACAACATATGTCCAAACTCAACCCATTATTTCTCTAGGCACTTACAGCATCATTGTGCTATGGGGAACTAGTTCCCAATGAAGCCTACCAAACGTTTCATATAGACAATAAGTACATTAAAAATAAAAAAAAAAGGCATGACTTACACAAAGTGGAATTTAATCTTCTGATAAAGGTGAAAATAAAACATCACACATATGTTACATGTATGTCACAGTACTCTGTGCTTGTATATACCTGAGTGTTCCTAGCTGGTGAGCAGGGTTGAGAGGTGAGGTAAAGCCTTGTAATGCATCCATGAAATCTGGTCTCTTCATTTGCTCAACTAGAAATTTCATTTGGACCTGTAGGACACAATCAACATACAATATTGCATACTGTTGTAACCTCAGCTTGGCAGATAACACACATTATAGGCAGTTTGTAAATGTATTATTTAAGGTTGGTAAAATGAAAGAACTAACCTTATGAGGCTCATCTTTCTTCTCCTGCTTGAGGATATCTGTGAGGTTAATGAGTTTTTCCATGGCCTCCACTTGTCTACTCAGATGCTTGAGGTACATGCCGCAGGCTCGGCAGTATGATTCCAGCAATAAACCAAACCTCTGGCTCACGGTTTTGTTGTGCATTTCTGACCTAACAAGACAAATTCAATGTGTTAACATTTTATTATAAGTGCACAGTACTTGCTACACAATGGGACCAAGGTTGATGGAACAAGGTCTGCTTACTTACTGAAGGTGCACTCCCCACACAAAAACTGCACTAAAAAAATAGAAAACCCTTAGTACCTAGATGACTGCAATGTTAACACCCTTCTGGGAAAAATAATTCCAGGGAATGCAGCATAGCCAAAATCTCATGATAAAATGCTTCTGCATTGTGCTAGAGCATCATCCCGCAGGATTTAGACTGCTCAGCAATCCTCAGGATCTCATTGGACAGATGATGAATCCACCTTCCCCACAGTATGGAAACTAGGGGTAAAGTATTTTATCCACAGTTTTTCCTTTCCTTTCAGTGCAGCCTATTGGAATGGGGAGGTGATCATTAGTAAATAAGCAGACCTTGTTTCCTGGTGACAAAGAATAAGGGCTAGTTCACACCAAGCGCGGAGCAGGTGCAGACCGGATCAAAAAACTGCGTCCAATGTATTCCTATGGTATTTTTAGCTCCAGTTCACATCGCAGCATGCAGATCCAGAGCAGGTCAAAAAACTGCAGCAAGCCCTATTTTACCTGCTCTGGATCTGCAAACGCATCATAAAAGCATGCAAATGCCTGGAACGCACTGAAAGCCCATGTTAAACTAAACTGTTAAACGCGTTTTTTTAGCCAAAAGCGCGCCAAAAACGCATCTAAAAGACTAGCGTGCGTGTGCAGAAACCTGACCGGATCTGCTCTGCATTTGGTGTGAACAAGGCCTAAGAGGATTGAAAGATGCCTGTTTGGAATTGCCAAAACATGTTATTGAATCACAGAATTCTGAACACTGCCCTACTAAGGTATTCCCCTTGATGACTACATCAATTCACTTTGCAGCCAATAATACCAATGATCACAAAAAGCATTGCTACATAAGTGTGGACTAAACATTGGTTAAGCTTTGTTTTTGTCCTTTATCTTTTATTGTACAGGATCTGTTTTTTTCTTTCATTAAACCAGGTGCATCCGTATAGGTCTTGCTGCATGGCGGTGTTTATGGGGGCTTGACATTATTACCTCGCCTCCCTGGATGCACAGGCCCTGGCTGACATTGAAGTAACATTTCTTCATAAATACCAAATAAAATGTAAAAAAAAAAAAAAGAAGAAGAAAATTTTGTAAATAGGCGGAATGAAACAATTTGTGGGCTTACTTTAGATGCCAGAAAAAGAAATGTCCAATTCTTTGATTAGTTAGTGCTTTCTTCAGTAGACATCTCACTAGTAAATTGTCCAAGTATTGTTCATACTTAAGAACCTGCATATAAAAACAGAAATAAAGTTATATTTTAGACAAGCCTATTTTTCCATTCAAGACTACCATGTCTCACAGCCCCTATTATACTTTTGTATTTCACTGCTCAAGATAGAAAGAGTATACCTTTTTTTTTTCTCATTTTATTTAATGGCTAGGTTTTGGTTTGATACTTTTCCTATTACTATCATCAGAAAAAATGTGACCATTAAACATTGCTGCCAAAATACTCGGTGCTCACCATTGACTAACATGGGGAAATCCCATCACACATGTTGAGCACCACTGACAACACAGTAGGAATCTAAAGCAAGGTGCCCTAGTCTCATGCTGGAAACCAGGAGCCCATTACTTATACAAAGCACTTCAAGCAGGCAGTACCAGCAGCTCTTTCCCCTGTAAATAAGGGTAAATAAGGGTAAATAAGGGTAAGGACACTGCATCACCAAAGCATTAATCTTCTTCTCTGTACACTTCAGCAAATACTAGATTTTCTGCATAATAGTCTGCATGCACAGTGAGTATTTGAATCATTTGCCAACAGAAAAGTTACCTGTACAAGTTGAATTAAATACTGTGACAGTTTGTCATCGGTCAAATACTTCTCAAGACATGTAACTGCAAATGACCGTACTACCCTATCTGGGTAATTGAAATCCAGCAGTTCCATTGCTTGCTCAGGTCGGATTGCAGGCCAGTCTTTAAGAAGGCAGTACATCTGTAACGGTAGAAAAAAAAACCATTAATAAATATTGCATAACATGCAGTTTACATTGAGCACAAGAAATAAAACGAAAAACATTAATTCAGTGACAAAGTGCATTAGTGCTCAAAAAAGAAATAATATTCAATTTTTTTTTGAAATCAAGACTCCCTTACATACAATGGTACAGAGATCAAGATCTTTCAAGTATTACCATACAGCTCCTCTACATCCACTGCTAGAGACGCTACGGGAAAGGAACATCCCTTACTGATGGAGCTTTCACTTTTGCCTAGTGTCAACACACAGTGCTCTTTAGAACCTTCGAAACGGTCCCTCCATTCTGGGAGCAACTTCATCAGTTCCTTCTTCTGGAATTGTACTCTGCGTATCACCCACCAGATGGCTGACACAATCCACAAGCAAGCCCTTTCAGCTGCATCTCAAAACGTGAGCCCTCTGCAAAGTCCAGACTGCAAGAACAAAGCCCAGCACTCCAGTGCTTCCTTAGAGTCTACCCATGTGTTTGAGAAAGAATCAGTCATCGATGGAGCTCCCAACTTGTGAACAGATGCCAGCAAGCTTTGACCAGATAAGTACTGCATCTGTCTTTCTTGCTGCCTCTACTGCCCTACTGGCTCTTATAAACCCCTGATCTCTTACTCGCTCTATACCTGCTGACTTGTGGCCCAGCTCTGTATAATCTGCCATAAAACTCTTGATTCCTGCACCTGACTGCCAGTAAGCATGCCTCCCAAACATACCGATATCATAAACACACTTTAGGAGTTAGTGTCCATGTCTGTTGGAGGACATCCCACTATCCTCTTTGCAGCACACTGCTCCCTTTCATACGCAGATTCTCCTTCCACCAGCCATACACATTCCCAGGAATGGACATAGCCTACTGCTGCAACTATAGACTAATTTCACTTCTCAATGTAGAAATAAAGCAATATACAAAAATCCCAGTAAACTGTCCCCATCTTTCCCTCACTAATACACCTTGATTTAGTATGCTTCATATCGCTTCGAGAGGTGCATAACGCTATCAAAGCATTAAATCTAGCTCACTGGGTGACAAACACAGATGGGATGCTTTGTTTTCTTTCCACAGATGCTGAAAAGGTGTTCAAGTGGCCTGGGACCATATGTCAGCAACACTACAACACTTAGGCATACAATTCTGAATATGATCTAGGATATACATCCTCTATTCTATCGCACAGGCCAGAGTTCATGTTAACTAGAGCGGTTGCCCTCTAAGATACCTGTCCACCTCTATCCATAAATTTATTCAACATGCCTTGCTTGACCACCCACTTATAAGCAATACATTAAAAAAGTATTCTCTGCTCTGGCAACACTATAACCTATCCTTAAATACAGACCCCCCTCTAACCCCAATTTGCAACAACCCTGCATGCCCTCTAGATACTTGGTATTTTGTAAGCGACTGGCAACCTTTCAATCACTTTACTGGAAGACACCTCTTACTTTGCAGTAACTTTCAAGACAGACAATACCATAACACCATTAAATTGAAAAACTTATTGCTCTGGTCCTACCTGCTACTTAGACATTTTCTTTTTAACCACTTCAAGACCAGGTGTTTAGACCCCCTTCCTGGCCAGGCCATTTTTCAGTGTTCAGCGCTGCGATACTTTGACTGACGTTTATTCCGTCATGCAACGCTGTACTGAAATGAATTTTAGCCCCACTAGGACACCTAATCTACACCCTATACCAAAAAGTACTTGAACCAACGAATCCAGAGGTGGACCCTAACTGCAACAAAGGGGAACGAGAACTATAGATCAGTTTTACAGACCAGGAATGGGAAAACAATCAATGTAACTACCCAAAAGAACAACGTTAAAATTTGTTCAGGTTGGCATCAAGTACACCTACACAGGCTTTACCCTACTTGTGACAGCTTGTGTTGAAGGTGCCAGAAACAAGGTGTCCGTTTTCCTGTCCAATCACACAAAAAATTTGATAGGACATCAATCAATACATCATCAATCAATACATCCCAAAGATCACCTCACTCCAGATCTTGCTGTACTGCACCATATAAAATACCCCTCACATAATTATAGGAAAACCTCGCTATTCCACATCCTAAATGTAGCCAAACGGGCAACCTGACATATTGGTAATAAACTTATCAACCTTTCCTGAAGGTCCACTGGGACCAACAAACTTTAGGAAATGTAAGAGGATACACATCTCTCATGACAGATTGCCGCAAATTATACTTAATTGGACTTGCTGGCTATACTTTAACCACTTCCTAATGTCTCCATAAAGAGGACCTGTCAGTGTGCCTTTGCTATTATATAGGGGGGTTGTTATCCCCCTATATAATAGCAATAACAATAAGTGCAAAAAAAATATACATAAATAAAATAAAAATAAAAAAGTAACATAAAAAAGTAACATAAAAAAGTAAAATAAAAGTCACATATAAAAAAAGTGAAAAAAACCCCCCCAAAATGTTTAACTCCCCCACCCCCACGTTCACGCACCTATAAACGTAAATACGTGTCCGGTGCCCCAGCGCGCAAAAACGACAATTGCGCTACACGTTACATATCGCAGCGAACATCGCAGTGAGAGCAATCATTTTAGGGCCATCAATCACTGATAACACTAAACTAATGAGCGTTAACAGCTTTTAAAGTGTCGCCTATGGCCAATTTTTGGTAATCATTGTTTTTTGAGGTTTCGCGCGCGCAAGCAATTTTAAGGCTTGACATATTTGGTGTCTTTTTACCCGACGTGACCCCGTCTTTTATATTTTACCAAAAAATTGGGTAATAATAAATGTTTTATCATTTAATATAGGGGAAACTGTTTTGTTTTTTTTAATTTCGGTAATTTTTCCTTAATATAATAATAAAAACCCCAGTGGTGAATAAATACCACCAAAAGAAAGCTCTATCTGTCCCCAAAAAAGGGTATAAAATTCATTTCAGTACAGCGTTGCATGACGGAATAAATGTCAGTCAAAGTACCGCAGCGCTGAATACTGAAAAATGGCCTGGAGGGGAAGGGGGTTTAACACCGCGGATGTCAACTGGTTAAAACAACCCCAGCATGTGCTTCCCAATTTCCCCCAAAGCAACCTAAACTGGGCCCTATGTGAAAGACCACCTTACTAGCCTTGCTTTGCCATGCTTGAAATGTCTGACATACACCCAGAAACTACTGTTTGAGATAGAATGAAGAAACATTAGAACCTCTGTTGGGTTTTACTAGAGAGATTTACCATCACTTTCTGTTCTGAGGACTGTGAAGTGAGGGAAAATCTGCAGCAGGGTAACAGACTAAAAAAAAAAGCCGCCAGATGTTCTAGCATTCCTCTACTAAACTACCTCCCGGCCGTTGTAAAAAAACGGCCGGCCGGGAGCTTTCTGGATGTAACAGGCCATGTATATACACGACCTGTTAGCCCCGCCCACTCGTGCGCACCGTGCGCGAGCGGGAAAGACACAATTAAAAACAGGCAGCGACGCCTGTTAACATACAAGTGATCCGCCGGATCACTTGTATAAGCTGTCGGCCCGTGTCCCCCTCCGCAGCCCCCCCTCCCGCTGTCACACTGGTCCCGGGCTCCGCTGTGCACGGTGTGAGCATAGTGCTTCTCTGACAGGGGATCAGAGGGAGGTCGGTTCCTCGCTGCACCTTCATACACCTGTTCCACCGCTTCACACCCATACAACTGTTCCACACAGCACCCCACAAACCTATTCCACTACTGCACCCATACACCTGTTCCACCACAGCACCCCCAAACACCTATTTCACCACATCACACTCATACACCTGTTCCACACTGCACCTCCATACCCCTTTTCCACCACCACACCCCCGCACACCTATTCCACCACTGCATCCCTGCACACCTGTTCCACACTGCACCCCTATTTCACCACTGCACCCCCATACACCTATTCCACTACTTCACACCCATACACCTAGTCCACACTGCACCCCCATACACCTATTCCACCACTGCACCCCTATCCACCACTGCCTCTCCACACAGCTGTTCCACACTGCACACCTGTTCCACCACAGCACCCCCACACACCTGGTCCACACTGCACCCCCACACACCTATTCCACCACTGCACCCCTATCCACCACTGCCTCTCCACACAGCTGTTCCACACTGCACACCTGTTCCACCACAGCACCCCCACACACCTGGTCCACACTGCACCCCCACACACCTGGTCCACACTGCAGCTCCGTACACCTATTCCACCATTGACCTCGATTGTCGGCGGGCCAGCAACGAGTGAGGGAGATCGCGTCGAGGAGGAGAGCAGCGGCGTGCGCGGCTTCAGCGGTGGGCGTGGCTTCGGCGTCCTGTCGGCACGGCGGGAGCAGCGTGCGGTGGGCGTGGCTTATGCGTCCTGTGGGCACGGCGGGCGCGGCGGGACGTGAGCAGCGTGTGCTTCAGGCCGCGTGTAGAGCCCCGAACAGGGAAATCAATCGATAGCCGACGAATCGACGATCGAAAACGTTGGTAACGTTTTCAATCGTCGATTTTAATCGACTAAATCGATTAACTGTTGCAGCTCTAACCATTTACACTGAATATTACCAGATTTCTCGATTAGAAAATATTGCATCTCTCATAAAGCACATATGAAAGTCTTAGTGTGTGTACCTATACACACACACACACGCACACACACACACACACCTATATACCACCAATGGCTGAAATACAGAAAGCCCTAGACTAGAAATTGAAGATTTTCGATGCAAGATTGCTTTATTCAAATATTACACATACAGAAAGAAAACAGAATATGTCAAACATCTGGTGCAACAAGATTATTATCTTTGTACTGTACCTGTGCAACGTCATCTCTGCAATTCCATTTCACACCCAGAAGCAGCTTAGGGAGGATGTCAGGGGTATTCAGACAATAATGCCTGCAAAATTAACAAGTCTAAAAATCACTATAAGACTCTACATAGAAGAGAAAAACAGGACAGGACAAGACATATAAGGACTTAATTAAAACCGTCAGAAGAAATGCATGCTTGGTAAAGTGAACCTGTCAGCCATTTTACACATATAAAACTGACATTTCTTCCTTATAAAAAAACACCCCAAAGGCCTAACATTTATAACACTTGGGGTAAGCTTTGTCCAACGGACATCCCTCTTTGCAAATTAAGTGCTTCAGTGATTAATATCACTGGACATTCTGCCTGCAACATGTGTCACCGGCTGTTAAGAGTGTGATGTGTGCAAAACATGCAAGAAATGAGGGTGGGAGGTTTATACAGCCAGCGTTTTACACAAAACTTCAGGCAGGCAAGGGAAGGGGGAAATTACTTTGGATTTAGATACTTAAAGTGTGAGCTAAGCAGCTGTGGTGAAGACAGAGTGGTGTATAAAAGCCAGAAACATATGTTACAATTTCATCATAAAATCTACCGAGAAATAAGTCAAGACAGAAAAAAAACTGCACAGATATCTAAAAGCATGGGGGCTCAGACAAGATCCATCACGTCAATTCATACACTAGTGTATTGCATATGCGGTGCCATGCATTTTACAACAATCAGTTTTACTGTATTGCAGTGCAGATATGGGCTTGCTCACATCAGAACACAAATGGGGGGAAAAAAACATGCATTTTGGATGAGCCGTTAACCATGAGTTCTGACATAAATGAGCTTCGAAGCCCAATTGAAGCTTCCTATATTACTGTATAGCAGTCAGACTGCATAAACTAAAAAAAAAATATATGGTTACAGTTTCTTTTTTTTAAAATAACAAAAACTACTAAATGTTTAGTGCAGCAAGGGTTTAAAGCCTCTACTAGCAGAATGGTAAAGTCAGACCTCTGTTCAACAAAAAGCACAGTAGTGCGGGTCTCCAGGGATTAGACACCACCCCACACTGGGCAGGGGGGGGGCAGGGGTGTCAGACCACTGGAGACCTGGACCGCTGCACTCTATTGAACAGAGGTTTAGCGCTGTAACATGCTGCTAGCACAGGGTAATTTAACCTGTACTGCAGTAAATAATGTTAAAAATATGAACATATTACTGTTCATGCAGCCTGACTATTTCAGTGATAAAGGCTCAATTGGCCTTTAAAACTTTTCCTGAAGGATACATTTCTCCATTTTTCACACACATGCAAAAATGCACATGATTGATTTACAAATATACTAAAGACCACCCAACACTATATATTTTGTGAAAGCAGAAGCACTTAAGATTGTAAGCTCAATTTTTTACGTTGCACAAATATTGATCCAAATGTTTTGAAAATCTATAAATGTGCAGAATTGTAGCTGCGAGCCTGTATACAGCCTCTTACTGCCGTGTCGAAATAGTCACAGCACAGCTGTGGGCGTAAAAGGGTTAAAGTTTAGATGGGATGGGTATGAAACATTAATTGGCTTCTTGTTAGATCCAAGTAGGTTTTATTAACCAATCTGAATGCACAATCTCCTTCAGATTTACCAACAACCATGTAGTATGGTGGCCTTTCCAAATGAAAAATTAAATGCATGGCTTAATAGATTCTAGTATTGCATAGTTTTGTTTTTTTAGACAATAGAAATCGCGGACACTGTACAATCAGATTGTAAGGTGTGCCTAAAGGTGCCCATACACCTTACAATTACTTATTTCAAGCAACTTTCCTGTGGCTTGACTGTAAGATAGTTTCATTTTTGTACAGTGTAACTTAACCTTGATAAGACAACCAAGCATTGTGTGTGCCCCTCATAACACACGTCAAAGTACAATCTAAAAGTACATTGCACTGTTAAGTAACCCTACTGAACGCACACATCTCACCAGATACAGGAGAGTAAGCTATGTGCCCATGAGTGTAGATCTGATTTAAGACATGGATGCCAAGGAGTAAGAGGTGTGTGATACCAATGGTGACATAAATGCTGGTGGGCAAATTTCACTGGTTACAATGAGACTAGAGAGTGAGCTGTGTGTCCTGGGGGGAGGGGCCTATCCCATGGGTGACATGGACAGTGGGGAGTAAGCAGTTTGTGCTGTGTTGGTGTATGTTGTCATAAAATGATGCAGGCATACAATGTGCATGAGCGAAGGAGCCCTTAGGGCTGGTGGGGATTGCTCAAAACTGAGAACTTGTAGACTTGTAAAGAAAATAAGGGCACATGAGTAGTACCTGTGGGTCCAAAGAAACTCTTTTTCTTGCTCAGTAATTTCAGAGAGAGGGTCCCGGGCAGAAATGGCTTTGAGCTGCTCTTTATCACTCTCTCGGACTTCATTATCTCTTGCTATTCTACTAGACTGCAAAAACAAAGAAAATAGAGATCACCAAACAACCAGATTATTTTTCCTTTCTCGTTAATTGAGGGACACAAATTATTTGACTGTCTGGTTATTCTGCCACCTATATGAAACATGGACACTGGCAACAAAAACTGTTGTACATCGCGGAATAACCCAAGCCCACAATAAGGGATGTGCTTTGTATTTGGGTTGACCACAAGTTCCACCCGCACCCAGTCTGCTCACAGTTTGCTGAACACAATGCTTAGATTTGGACAGTTTGCCTGCCTACCCGAACCTGCAGCTAATGCAGCTGGAAGTCATCCATGTATTATTTGACATGATTTATATAGCGCCAACAGTTTGCACTGCACTTTACAATGTAGAGGCGGTATCACTATGACCACTAAATGACACCTTCCCACTTGCTTGTTTTGAAATGTTAACAAAACGTAAATATGGCAGAGACCCCGCAGCACCCTGTACATGCAAATTAACCCCTCAGCACTAAGTGCTCTACGTATGTACTATAACTGTTCAGTGCCAATTCTATTGCTTATTTACATGAATCCCTCAGCTTCCAGTACCCTGCACATGTGCATTTGCCACTTAATGACCATGCCTCAAAAATAGCTTTATTAAATAATACCGGCCTTCCAGGTCCTCTGCTCTGACATTTGAAAAAGACAGATATATCTTTTTATTGAATGTGACATTAAACTTTTATATCAACCTTAACACATAGTTACGAAAACAAAATCCCATAATTACCAGTCCGGAATGGCTGTAATTGTAGCCCATTTCTCTTTCCAAAACTTTATTTGCATGATCTTCTATCGTTGGCATATCAGGGAATTTTACTGGGCTACTGAAACAGTCCAATTCAAGCTCTAAGCAAGGCGTTTCCTGAAAATCAACAAGACGCAAATGTAAAGTAAAAGTACTGCAAAATACTGCCAAGCAATTACCCATTTAAAGTCAACCTGTCTTCACAAAGTAATTAAACTAACCTTACATGTACATCATTGGATATTTACCATTCCATGATAGTGATCATATACTTCCTATGGTCAGCATCACTTTAAATGTAGCACACCAGCATTATTTTACCTTGTTTGGGTTGGACCCTGTAACACCAATAGGGTTTAGTAGGTCTTCAAGTCCATGAGGCACTGGCCACAAGTTCAAGGCCATTTTCCCAGAAACGAGTGTGTCTGTATAATCAAACAAGTTTATATTGCCCCAGGCCAACGGACAGTGTTCCTACAAAAACAATGCATTGAAACATATTAGAGAGTTTGCATATCACAGTTCTTTTTCAGACATCTTCAGCCCTTGAAGGGGTTTCCTAACAAGACTCCAAGACGACACAGGTAGAAGAGTTGTTACCTCCTTTTATAGCAAGTCCTGTGCTTTAATCACTATTGTACCTTCTGCTCACAAACCAAAAAGTAAAAAAAACTAGGATAGGAAAGACTGCAGTATCCTAATGGTAGGGCCCATTAAAGGCATGTAGAACTGCCAGGGAAGACTCTTTCACAGAAATGTGGCCAGTTGTGGATGCAAAGCCTGTTTTGTGGGGAAAGCTTTAAAAATGAAAGAACTCCGGGAAATTATAAAAAAAAAAACCAAAAACAAAAAACACCTTACCCTTGCAGTGGGGCTGCTTGTTTTGTCAAGGGGGCTAAAATAGAGCAGATATACTCACCTGATCCTCGGTTCCACAGTGGTCAGTGATCACCTGCCCCCCCAACCTCTGCTACGGCTATGGAATGTCGCTCAGTGTCCTCACATCTACTTCAAGTCAATGGACCTGCGTACGACATCATTGGACCTTAGACCACCGGAGCCCAGGGGAAAAGACGCTGGAGCAACTGGTCTAAAAGCCCATCCGAAGAGAGGATCAGGCGAGTATATCTGCTTTATTTTAGCTCCCTAGACCAAATGGCCAGTGCAGCAGTAGCCCCATTGGAAAGGTAAGTTTTTTTTTTTTTTTTAAGTTCCCAGAATTCTTCTTTAAATGAGTGAGCAACATTGGGCAAGGGCACTAAAAGCAAAGCTAGGCAACCGCCTCTATTTTTGTTTTACAAAAGGACTTGTTGTTATAAGCATAATATGAATTTGGATACAGAAATACTGGAGTTACAGTTTCACACAATTCATTTGTTGTAAGAGAAGTAGAGGCTTACTTTGTAAAGGTCAGCCATATTAACTATAGGTAAATGTATGTAGCCTTTTGCATGGCAAATCATAGCATACTTTAAAACGACTTACCTCTTTGGCACCCTTTCTACCCTTCACAGAACAAATGGACAAACAGAGGCGAGCTGCTCGGGGCAGATCAGGGATGTACATGTCATATGGAAGCCACTCATTCCACCTGAAAAGAAATCATGTTCAAGTAAAATGTTAGTGCATCTTTTTATACTGCAACAAAAAGGTTTTGTAGCATACATTTGCAGAATACAAAACACAGACTGCTGCACTACATAACCTCTGCAGAGTGGTTACCACCTCTAATATAATCTCCCAGCCTGGTATAGAAAAAGTAGGATATTTGTTACCTGTAAAATCCTTTTCTTGAAGTACATTATGGGACAAAGGTGAAGCATTCAAGATCCTAGGGTTATGCTGCTGCCTTTAGATTAGACATTGGCAAATAGGGAAGGCCAAAAGTAGTCCAACTAATGCAGTGGGTGATGCAGTTAAGAAAAGGCTAGCAGGCCCACAAAAACTAACCGGTTAACAGAGGGGGTTCAATAGAGCCTAGAGACATCTGAAGAACCTTATGACCGAAGCTGGCATCAGCTAAGGACTCGACATCCATCTGGTAAAAACTTACCGAACGTGTAAACAGAAGGAGGCAACCATGCAAATCGGAAAAAAACAGATGCCTTATGCTGTAAAGCCCATGGAGTACAAACAGATCCAATGAAGTGCGCTTTGATCGAAAAGGTGAACCCTGATTTGGAGGTAATAAGCATGAATAATGAGCTGTTGAACCAGTCTAGCGATAGCGGAATGAGAAGCAGGCTGCCCCCTACGGGGACCTTTAGGAGCAACAGAGTTGGACTGTGGAAAAGGAGCTGTAGCTGAGCGATAAACTCAAACAGCGTGTATCACATCCAGACAATAGAGGAAAAATCTCCCTCAGATGTGTAGGAGCAGGGTTGGTTGAACAATTTCCTGGTTAAGGTGAAAAGGAAGAATCCACTGGGGAGGAAACAAGGCCCAGGGCAGCGCCAATCACAGGTACTGAGACATTTTCTCGGTCCGCAGCTGCAGAGATCAGGAAATGTCTCAGTGCCTGTGATTGGCGCTGCGGGCTCGGCACGTGGAGCTGCGAACACGCCTGAACCCATCCTTCGTTGACTAGTCGTTTCTGAGCAGTTGGAAAAGTGCTTTTAAATACCCAACACAAGAAATCCCATGATTTTCAATGGCCTCTGCTCACACCTGAACAGAAAACCGCCAGCAGGAAAACGCGTTTTTGCCCAATATACTTTAATGGAAACGTCCAAAAACGCGCGGCAGAAGCATGTTGCACATTTTCGTGCACGTTTTTGCGCATTCCTCCATTGACAGCAATGTTTAATAAGCTGCCAGTCAAAACATGCATCTTCATGTACGCCTGTACAAACGCACATCACAATATGCACAATGCGCAAACCACATGCGTACAAACGCACAAAAACTGTGCCGCCTAGGTATGGACCTGGCCTTAGGCAGTATGCTGCAGACCACCCCTGAGCGGTTAGCTGATCATAAGCCGACAGGTCCCACATGACTGCCTCAATTGCACCTATAATCCACCATGATAAGCTTGCAAGTGAAACAGTCCCACAGAGTATTCACATGGCCCTTAAAAGACAGCAAGGGATAATACCAAGTCACTGAGGGCAATATGAAGACCAATCGTGTCCCACAGAATTATAGGGTGGCTGAGCAGAACAGGAGACAGTGAACTGATCTACGTGCAGAGCCCACAGTAGTGCACAAGTGCAGAATGAACCACAAAAGCTTTGGTCCTATAAAAGATAGGACCACTACAGAAGTCACATTATAGACCAGTCACTCAGTTCATAGGAAAAATAAATAATCTTTATTCTTGAAACCTTTAAATGTACATTTAATTTAATAAATCATTCCTTTACCGCACCCAAGGACACCTCTAATTAAAATGACAATGTTGTCAAAATGCACACACACACACACACACACCTCAAAATTCCAAAATTCTGATGTCTCTAAAAGACTAGATATAGGAACATGGGGAGCTAACTTCTGTGTCTCCGCCAATGCATTCGAGCAGTGGTTCTCAACCTGTGTAACGTCAGGACCCACATTTGTCTTTGTCATTAAGTCGTGACCCAAATCGGAACACACTGGAATGCACAGCATTGCGCTACAATGCGTTGTAGTGCGGGCATTCAAACTGTGGGTGGGAGGTGCGTTTGGGGTGCCATTCAAATGAATGGCAATGCAAAACACCTCCCACGCCAGAATGCACAGTAGGTAAGCAGGAGTGTGCGATTAATGCACTGTACTAGTGTGAACAAGCCCTCAAAAACCAGACAGACAGCAAACATTTTTTAAATGTTTTATTTTTTTTAAGATCCACCAGTCTCAGTATCTTACGAGAACTGGAGTGGATCCTCAGCCCGGGGTCCAGTGTGGGCTGCTGTGATGTGACTGAGCTCCATCTACATGTTCATTGCGTGTCATGTAGAGGTGCTGGGAACCAGAATGTGATGCAACTCCCGTCCAGGCACCTCTACAGGGCACGTGAGGGAGCTGTAAACAATACACTTAGAGCTACCTCGTGGCCATAGCCCCATCCCACCCCACCTCAAGCTGACACTCTGCACAGGGCAGCATATTTTGAATGGCTGCTCGGTGCGAGAACTGACAGTGCTGCGCTAGGGGGAGGCTGAGGAGCCTCTCGCCTAGAAAAATGGAAGGCATGTGGTGACCCACTGAACACGGGGTCGCGATCCACTTTTGGGGCACAACCCATTCCTTCAAAGATTTAAGTGTATCCAATCTTTCATACTCTCCTGGTTAGTGTAACATAGATTTGTTTCCTTGTTTGGTTACATATTGTAACCAGTACATACTGTAAAGATACACTCCCTCCACTTTCAGTATCACACAGTCTCCACTCCCAGCATCGCTTTTGTGTTTTTCATAAGATTCTTTTGAAAAAGATCTGGTGTAGAACATTGAAACTGTGAGGGTTTTCAATGCATCGGCCATTTTACATTTCTGGTAACGTATGCTTTCACGTTTTTTTACAAGTGGTACAAGATAGATCTGGTATTCATTTCCTGCAACAAAATTTGGTTACAGCCCAGCTTCAGTAAAAATGTTTTAATATGTTCTGGATGTAGCAAGGAAATTAGGAACCTTGTCAGGTTTTTTTTTTACAAGTTTTTGTGAAACTATTGGATAGATTTTTCCCTCACTTCCCTGTCCTCTCCAATAGGGATACAAACATTCACATGTTTAGTAGAGTTGGGACAGGTTACAACTTTTGGCAATGCTTTTTATTGGTATCTGTGGCCTCCCTGTCCGGGTGACAACTGCTTCCTCGCCCCCCCATCCCTTTTTTCTAGTACTGGTATCACATGGATAGAATGTGAAGGAACATCTCCCCAATGGGATCACAAACAGAAATAAAAACATGACAAAAATGTTTCAACTCTTCCTCACTCCAAAACAAATAAAAAAAAAAATGGTCTGGAACTAGAACTTAATGAGTCACCACAGCATACGGATTCAAGTCCCTCGCCTAGATCGTATTTCTAATGGGAATTACACAGGCTCACTGTATAAAAGGCCAAAGATTCAGTAACCATTAATGCTTGTAACAACCATGAACAATGGAGCAAAATGCCACTCCAAAAACGTAATTATGTACAACTGTATTAACACAGTGACACTAAACATTTGCTGAAGTGACCAGATAAATAATAACGATGACCATTGTGCAACTTTTAAAATATTTCCCTAGCAACAAAAGTAGAATTTTTTTTAATTTTACACACAAGTGATTCCTAGTCTGGTTATTGTGTGTACAAGTCAGCAATGTACCAGGCAAATAGCCACAAAGTGGAATAAATTGATATTTTCATAAACACAATCGCTCACAATAAAAAAAAATGTTTTCTTGATGTACATAACTACAACCAAAAGCCTGCTTCATCAAAAAAAAACGACCCCCCCCCCACTATTAGCAAAGCTTATATATATCAACACTGATTATAGTTACCCACAAGTACTATGAAATTACCACAATCAACAGAGCATGGAAAAAAAACCATGATGTTAAAACACAAAAAAAACAAAAACATAAGATAGGCCAAAGTATAATTGAATAAATCACCTGGGATTTGAACAGGGAACCCTCAGAGTGTTGACGTTGTCACACAATGGCTCAGCTCCATGAAATAGACCAGTTCGGACATAGATCTAAAGCAAAAGCAGATGAGGTTTACAAACACTTTAAAAAATACAAAAAGACAAACAAGTAAACTCCATTATATATATACAAGTGTACCTTGTCAATATCTCTAATGTTCACATTGACATATGTCGCGCAGAGAATTTTTATTCGGAGATTGCTGTTGATGGCCCACAATGATTTAGCAGAGGCTTCTCCGTTCATGTATGGTGTTGCTGTTGAAATTCGTCTCGAGTAAGATGGCATTGTAAAGGTGTCAACTGGAATCTGGTTATACAAGCTGTCTTTTGCCATTAACATTAAATTAGGCATCCGGCCAAGCATTATGCAGCTTCTTATATACTGAAACATATGAATGACATTTAACAAATATGTTTGTGGTCAACAAAACTGTAAACACATAAACTATGTTATCCTTAAAGCCCAACTCCAGATAAACAAAAAAAACCCCCACAACCACCTCCCCTTCCAGTTTTAATGATCTGATCGCCGCTCCCACTGGCTCCAAGACTGGCACCTGCAGCCTCTACTCCCCTCCACTCTGGCAGTCAGGGGCCCACTGATGCCATCACATCTAATGCAGGGCGCATAGTTCAGCTTTAGACGTGAGAACACCCAGGGACCTTCCACAGCTAGAATGGAGAGTGGTGGGAGTGGGGATCAGGACATAAAATCGGCTGTACAAAGTCCCCCCTAGATAAAAACAAGCAGTTAACTCTTGCAGTGCGGATGTGGCCCTATTGCAAGGGAGGTTTTTTGTTTCCAGAGAAAGGCTTTAAGTTAGATTGTAAGGCTCATGGAAAGTACAGTTAAAAAAACAAAGACAATGAGCAAGCACAAAAATCTTTGTAAATCGTTTAAAGCTTAACTTTGGGAATTACAGAAAAAACACCCTTGCAGTGGAGCACCCCTGCGAATACTTAACTTATTCCTCGCTCCGGCAGGCTTCCCTCAGGTGTGCCAGGCCAGCAGTCGCACTCTTACACACATGACCCAGAATATCTAAGATAAGAGGTGAGAGGCCAAAACCTGCCGGAGCGAGGATTAAGATGTGTATTGCAGCCTATTCTTCTACCCCTAAACTTAACGAGCATTTAACCCTAGCAGTGTGGCATGTAGACTATATAAAATATGGATAATGCAAAACGTAATACAGATGCACATGCATGCACAATTTTTACCTTGCATTAGAAAATAATATACTTTAGCGCTGCTTTAAAGAGTATGAAGTCATTATGGCTACTGTGACAGAAACGATGGCTGCCAGAAAATAAAATGCAGAGCCTGTCCCCCATTCAGAGGTCAATGATCCGATTACAAAATCTCTTCCTTTTTTTGTTCTTCCATTTCTGTACCAGTGAACCCAGCCATGCAGCAATTAATCAGAAACCTAAAAGGCATGGATGTCCTGTAACCTGCAGCTGCAATATATTAGAATTTAATCGGTTCTTCTAATTATAATTAAAAAAAACTGATTGGGGGGATATGCACTGTTCTATAATCACAGAACCACCATTCATCCAATTACCTCCACAAATAAAATCCTACTACCTGAGCATGTAGACTATATGGTTTCAATTTAGAAGGGTCACATGAGAGTGCTTGTACTTCTACACATAATTAGACTAACGCAGACATGATCTTGTTATATCAGTCATCCATACGGTTTATTGGTGAATACTGATCAGGATTCCTGTGAACATGGGGATTTGTTTTTAAATCACGTATCTGAACAAACGAATTTAGGTGTAAAAACAATGATAGTACACTGTGTGGCAAGAATAAAAGTTGGAGTACAGAAATACATTCTCACAGGAGTTGGGATCCCCAGCTTTACTGAGACCCTGCAGAGAAAGCCGAGTGATGTCACCCTCACCTAGGTGAAAGGAGTGAGGGCTTGTTCACACGATTTTCCGGTCCAGATCTGCAGACGCAGTGCTATGCGTTACTGAAAAAAAAAAAAAAAAAGGAGTGGGGCTGTCTGTATGTTAGCTACAGTGCATTTTCGCCGCGTTTGTCCAGTAACGCACGAAATGTGACATGCAGCATTTTCTCTGTCCAGAACAGACTGCGCACGTGAGAACTGTAGCCCATAAAACGCATAGGGATACATTTTGGGTGCAGGAGCGCACGGTTCTGGTCCGGACACAATCCGGACGTCATGCGATGGCTGGGGTGTTAGGTGAGGTTCTCTTTTTCCTTTTTCGCTTCCAATGTTTAAATTGGCGTTCTTTTCATTTGGGGGTGGAGGGGCTAGAAAATCAATGAACCTTGCATCTTTCAAGCAAGTTCTGCATTAAAGGAAAAATTTAGTAATAGTTCAAATTGGTGTCGGAAGTTTTATTTCTGTCTGGGGAGATTTTTCCTCACTTCTTGTAGTGCTGGTATTAGAAATGGGTGGCTGTGGGCATCATCTGGACAGAAAAGGCACAAACACCAATAAAAAAACCAATTTTCAGAAGTACCAACTATTTCTACTAAAATGTTTTTGTCTGCATTCTCTTGGTAGCTGCTTCCTATCACTTCTCATCTGGACAGGAACGGAGGGGGAAATCTCCCCAACAGGGGCTCAGATGGCAATTAAAACTTTACAGAGGCTCCAACACTTCCTTGTCTAATAAAGGCTAATAATTATTTTTTACTGGATTTAGCACAGACTTATTGCTGCTCATGTGTGCTGTGTTTTCAGAGATGAATGGCAAATCTTGTACATGTCTTCCATGGTCATCTGCTGCAATGTCATGACTCTCATACATATCAGGACTTCTACATAGCTGTACCTAACCTACAAATCATGCCACAATCTCTGCCAATGCAAAGTCAAGACCAAGTTAAGATAATATATATAAAAAAAAAGTCCGGTTTTCTTTACTAGTACATTATACATTTTACAAGGTCTTTCTTACCTTATATTGACTTAGTGGATACTTTTCCAGCAAGTATTCATCACAGCCACATACTTTTAGTATATACTTTCCCTGGTATTCAAGGACACAAAGCTTTAGCTGTTCAGTGGACAGTAACATACTTCTCGTCTTTTTCCTTATTGCTTCTGCTATTACATGTTCTGGTACACAGTCATGGTTAATCTTCAAAGAGTACTTCTGTTTCTCATTGTTGGGAGACACAATGACCCAAATCACTACAATGATTTGCCCTGTGGAAAAGAATGGTCAATAAGAATCATTCCAATTATACACAATGTTACTCAACCTTTGAGTTTGTTCACAGCACAATGCACATAAATACACAGAAAACGCATGCGGTGACATGTATTTTGTGTTACACAGGTGCTCTTTTTTTTAATGTACAGGCCACATCAAGGATCACACACACTAAATTATATATATCTATCTATAGATATATATAAAAAACGTATTAATATATATATAACCTATGTTGTTTTAACACATTATTTTTGTGCTTTGCCTAAAAATGCACCATGTCTGCATATTTCCTCAACAACACACACCAAAGCTGTTGTATGTTGTGGGCAGGGCACATGGAGAACAATTTTTTCAGCGTCCTTATGTTGAAGAACCATTAGTCCTTTGGCTGACAAAGATGGCTGTCTCTGTGCTTTGCAAGCCTTCTGTTGAAGTTACAACTAAGCTAGTATTCATAGTGGCAAACAACCCCCCCAGGACAGTATATTGTGGGTGAAGGCAGAGCTGGTGTTTAGTGACCGTGTTACAGAGAATCACAGGGAGGGGGGGCATTGCTTTACAATAGGACCGCGGTGTCAGGAGAAAATTTTGAATTTTTAGGCTTCAGGCCTAATAAAACATTAAACAAAAATGAAGAAAGCCTGCAATGCGAGTCATGAAAATGTACACACATGATCACTGCACCTACATTATCACAATAAATACTAATCACTTACAAAGGTGGACATGGACTTTAAGGCAGAGTCAACCTGTAAAACGGACTCCGGCCCATCTAGCAGCTAGGAGTTTGTGTATACTTTTTCACTGCACTGTATGCTTTGTAGTAGATATGATTTGGGTGGATGTAAAGCTGCTTGATCACGTCTACATGTTCACAAACAAAACAATTTACATTTTAACAAAAAGTCTAAAGGATTTAAAAAGAAAAAAAAAAAAAGGCTCAGGCAGTGAAATGGTTAAACCTTTTATTGCCATAACATAGGACAGAAGGAAAAAAGTTCAGCAACATAAATTCTGTGCATTAACAAATATGTGCATATACACAAATACCACATCAGACTGTGGACACAACATTCCATGTTTACCTTTGTCTAGTTTGCTTTCTATGTGCTTGGGAAGCTCTGAGGAAGATTCTACATTAGGTGGGTAAACGTAAAGTGCTCTGCTAATGGGGCCATTTGCATCACGAAGTTCAACGGCATCTTTACAAACATTTAGGATATTTTTCCTAAAATCTTGAACCTCTGGATCCTTCACCATGTCAAATTCACAGACTGGCATTCCTATGGCAAAACCTTAAAAAGAGCAGAAAAATATAAAAAATACCGTGGAGTCAGTCACCGTTACAATTTTCAATTACATTTTGTATCTTTACTTTTTTTTTTTATATATACATGCAGATACCTGAACATTGACACTTTACAACTCTGATCCTTTCCATCTGAGAATTTAGGGTTTTCCCCATCCTTTATTTGTTCCAGCACCTAGAGTGCCATTGTCCATATACAGGAGGAGGACAAAATATTGTGAGCACCAGTATTACAAGGTTTAATTACATGATGTAGGCTACGTCTATACAAGCACTGAAACAAATGCTAACATTCAATTTAGTTTTCCATCCATTTTGAAAGTATGACACGTCACTCATTTTACTGAACACTTGTACTATGCTGACATAAAACGGACAAAGAAAAAACAGACAATTAGAATCTTACCATTTTTTTTCTTTGTAACCTAGACAAATACAATTGAGCCTTATAATACCGGGATTCACATTATTTTGTCCACCACCTGTAGAATAAATTGAAAATACACCTAGGAGTGTGCGGGATCCCTCATAATAACTGAAGAGCTCATTTTAGATGGGTAAAATCTACTACTATGACTTCAGGGAGGACACCTGGAGTTTTGTTTGCAGATAGTATGACATCTGGGCAACTCACAAGGAGCATTTCACAAAAATTGCATAAACAGAGGTTACCGTAATGAAAAAAAAAAAAAATCATATTCCAAAATGCTTAGTAGATCCAAAAAGAAGTAGCTGCACTGTATGCAAGTTTCAATTTGTTTCTGTAAATGTCCAACTTGACCCTGCCACTTCCTACCTCCAGAGTCTCCTTATTGAGTACTGAAGATACCCATCACATTGCAGGACCAATAAAGACCCAGAGGAGGCCAGGTCAAAGCTGCCTTTAACAGGAAAAGCCTACATCCGCATTCAAATTCCACTACCTATATCTTTGTATCAACTCATCATTCTGACATGTGGTTTTATTGACCATCTCTGCTTATGAATGTCTTCATCAAATGCTCCGCTTGAATATTCTAGATTTGTGACAATCTTTAATAATCTTCTTCGGGGACTTCTGCGCTCGATCTAAGAAAACTGGGCGTTTCGCCTTACAGCTGCTCACATAATTGGCTACATGAGCCTGCATTAATAGCATTCAAATATGTGAAGTGGCGCCATCACCCAACAAGTAAATAAATATGTGCAAAAAACAAATATTATAGTGAACAATACTATTGAGAGAAAAGGAAAACAAATATATA